TAGCTTAATTAATTTTTTTACACTAATTTCCTCAACGATCTACATTAGGGTAAAAAAATTAATTAAGCTATGTTAGGGAGCACTGCATAAGCTAAAGCGTTTCCAAATTGAAATCCGGGAAATTTTATTCAAAATTTAAATTAAATTTTCTTTAATTTCAATTACAAAAGAATTAAAATGCAACATTATTTTTAACCAGCTTTGTCTATCACGGGATCACAAAAACAAGGGGGTTACCAAATGCAACATTATTTTCAACTTTATAAACTCGTATGATTCATTAGGTTGCCAGAGGAAGGGTTGTGATCCCCCAACTAATGCCTCTGTCAGTCTGGCCCCAAATTAAAATCCATTAAATAGACTTGAAAACTCAATTTTGTATATGTATATATATATCTATATTGCAGTTACTATATATTATGTATTATCCTTTCCAATTTTCTACCCAGCTAACTGCCAAATTTGTTACTAATTGTCAATTTGGCCTTGAAATTGCTCTTAAAAAAAAAAAAAAAAACACTAGATTTAATTGTGTTGGTATTTAATATATAATAGGACAGTGTAAGGCCCAAAAGTTGATAGCACTAAAGGACTAGACTTAATTGTGTTGTACTTGAAAAATAAAAATAAATAAATAAAATTCAAGAACTCAAAAAATAGGAATCAATTTTGAGATAATTATAAAAGACAATTCAATAAAAATGAATGAGAATCACCTATTATGTTGGGATCTTATGCAATACATTGGTTACGTAAATAATATATACATCAGTTATGAATCAACAATGTAACGTTATTGCTTAAGCGATATAACGTAAGTTGTATGGACAAGATATACGAATAATGAATGGCATAGTAAAATTGATATATGTGAAGAAAAAAAAAAAAAAAGCATAGGAACTGTCAACCAAATTTTGATTTTTAGTTCTCCAAAAAAATAAAATAATTGAATCAATTAAACATACAAACGTTAAACATTTGCCTAGCTAATTCAAAGTTAAAACTGAATCTGCATTTATTTTAAAAACTGAACATTTATACAATACAGTTGATCAATGGGAAAAGAAAGGACACTGTCAAAAAGACAGGTCATGCATGAACATTTCAAACCCCGTATTGTCCATTAGTGAAAAAGCAGATTCCACTTAAATTGGATTCATTCTTTTAAATGTCTTGTCAAGATTGTTGGAGCAATGCCCATTTTATGGCTTTGAGCTGTAATCAGCCTGAATAATTACTATATAAAAAAAAAGAATAAGAAGAGAGAAAGAAGTTCCTGTGTATAAATATAAATAATATTTGATTGCAACAAAAATAAAATTTTAAAGAAGAAGAAGAAGAAAAATAAAAATAATATGAGAAAACTTTGAATGGGAAAAAGTTATAGGCTTTGATAGAAGAAGTAATTGTATTTTTTTTCAAGAAAATGAAAAGAAATATGAGGAGGAATAAGAATAAAAATGGAAAGAAATAAAGAGATTTATAGAAAAAAACAATAGTTTTAGGGGGGCATATAATCATTATTTACTTAAATATATAAATATATAATATTGGTTCGGTAATTGTTTCCAATAATTCAAAAAGTAGAAAAAAATTTAAAATAATTATACAAGACAATTATTTAATTGAAATTTTTTAAAAACAGTAAACCAAACAAATTTTTATACTTTTTTTTAAAAAAAAATTAGTTTTAAAAATAACAAAAACCACTCGAGAGAACTGATTCAAGCTGACCTTAATTACACTGTTTCATCAGGTAACATAATTAATTTTGGGGACACCTACTATGGTGGCCTAGGCTTTTATGTACAGTATATATATTTGAATTGTGATTGTGTTCAATAACCAATTAAACAAACGAATTTGCAGTGAACTCACAAAAATGAGTAGATATTGAGTGAGTCGAGCATACTTAATTAATAAAATATATTCCATTCTGATAAAAAATAAAAAATAAAAATAAAACCTATCTCAACCTACTTAAATGGTGTATTATGATATTGGGTGGACATAACAATGACGCGGTATGTCCGACTCGCTAAATATCTTTTCTATGAAAATGGAGGACTATTAGCACATGTCGTGATAAAATTAATATCAACGGCGTGCAATATATTGTACAAACATCAATTTAATTTATGCAATTTGATATCAAAATATTTTCTCACCACCACTGACAAATCTAATGCTTATCCTTCTTAATCGTGTTTACTTTGATTATATAATCGTGGTTGGGTTTCTAAAAATTGTTCCTCAGAATGCAAAAACTAGAATACTATTTTAAGAGAATTATAAAGACAATTATCTGATATTATTTTTTTTAATTGAATTTTCAGAAAAACATTTTTTGAAAATGGTAAACAAACAAATTTTTTTATACAATTTTCTAATTTTTAATTATTAAAAATAAATTAAAAAAATTGAACCTAACATCCCTAGATTACACTAGGTGTTGGTAATTCAAGTTGTTAGAACACTTGTGTTGCATAGTTGATCAGTGGGAAAAGAAAAGGCATTTGTCAAAAAAGTGAGTCCGCGTGATTAAACATTTCAAAAGCAGATTCCTCTTAAAATGCATTTCAGCTCAAAAGCACCAATAGCTGGGCCCCCGATCCGATCCATCTACTTCTACCGACACAAAACAATGAAATTAGTACAAACAATTCATTTTCATGTTAAATAAGTTATAGAAGGGCCAGTCTTGAAATTAACAATCCCATTGTACAAAAATATTGAAACTAGTTTGCGTAATTTTACCATAAAAAATGGGAATTAATATATTCAACAATCTTTATCTATTCATCATGGTTACCCTCTTGTCAAATCGTAGAGGTAGGATTAAAATTGATTAGGACATTATTGACTTAATTAATAGAGTGTCCAGTACTCCAGACAATTATACCCGTGCTTCACTTCTTCCTTTCCTAGTTAGCTACACTAAATTGTGTACATATGCATAAATTCTGCATTTAATTATAACATTGCAGGACATAGTTTAAGGACCAAAAGTTAATAAGGCACTGAAGGACTAGACTTAATTCATTAGATTCATCAATTATTGCCTTTTCTTTTTCACAAAGCTGTCTTTTGTCAAACTTTTGGCCCGTCAATCAAGCTCATTTACCTCCCACCGTCTTATGCACTCAGTGCCCCTTCCACTTTTTATTCCAAACAAAGTTTTCCCACACATTTGAGAAGGAACATTTGGGAAATTATCTGAAATTCCTTCTGGCTTTTCCTTACTAAAATTCATACTAAAGCTCATCATGTGTGACGTGATATCTCGTCTTGACAGTGTTGTGCATGTTTGGTAATTCAGTAGGGTGTTATGTTTTGTTTGGATGGTATTTGATTGTCGTAAAATATTTACGAATAAAAAAATATTAAAATTTAATTAAAATAATTTTTTTGTTAATTTTTGACAAATTATTTTATATGTTTCACCTCATGGACTCGATCTGAAATTCGACCTAGGTTTTTGCAAAATATAAATATATATATATATATATATATATATATATATATATATTAAAAATAAATATTTTACCTTGGAGTTCAAGATGAAAAACGGTTGTTTTATGGGTGATCTGCCAACACTCGGCAAGTACTCAACAATTCCAAACCAATCTCTAGTCCTAAGCGATGCTAAGTTATAGAGGCCCACTGTTTATTTTTGTGGTTCATGTACTACTTCAATCAGCGTGTATAATTTCTTTTATTGGCAAAAATACACAATATTCGCTTAATTATTATTTTCTTTTGAGAACTCGAACTCTCGTGAATCATTTTGGGAGGTTGAAGAATATTTTCTCACAAGTCACAACCACCCATATAGACAAATTTAATGCTTAGCCTTCTTAATCATGTTTATTTAAATGCATAGTCTTGGTTGAGTTTCTAAAAATTTGTTTTCAAAAATTCAAAAAATAAAAACTGTTATGCAATAATTAATAATCATTGAAGACAATTATTTGACATCATGTCTTTATTAATCGAGTTTTGAGAAAATTTGGTTTTGAAAATGGACTACTCACATTTGCTAGCGTAATCCTCACTACATGGGAGTGTCATGCGAATAGTAATCGGTTACTCCCTGTGTCAATCTAACTTTTCAAGAGATGATTCTTAATATATATATATATATATATATATATATATATATATATATCAATTTCTACTTAAGTTTTATAAATTCAATGCAATATTTTTCTGAATCAGTTATGGTGTAATCAAGGTTTCAATGTTTTTGTATAAAATAGAAAAGAAAATTTAAAAATAAAATTCCATTCACATCACCATTCAAATTAAACATTATTAATCGCATGGGGAAAAAAATTCTAAACTTAAACTCAAAGTTTACAATTTTCATTACTAGTATCAAAGAGTTTAAAGGTTCATAAAGTTTTAATTGTTAAGAAGATAAGCTACATTGTTCAATTCTATTATTTCTTCAATTGTGAGATCTTTTTTTATTATTTATAAAAAACAATATCAAATCTTAATAAGAGAGAGAAGAGAAAGTTTATACAAAGTATAGAAAAAGTTGAGAGAGATAGATAGCGAGAGAAAAAGAAGGGTTAACAAAAAAATAAAATAAAATAAAATATATATATATAGATATATATACAGAAATGTTAATTGAAGAAGGGAATTACAAAAATAGCATAACTGAAAAGTATAGTTGTGATATTTGAAAAAAATAATTATTAAATTATAAATTCAATGCAATATTTTTTTGAATCGGTTACGGTGTAATCAAAGTTTCAATGTTTTTGTACAATAGAATTGATAGGTCATCATCCTGTGCATGGGTTAGGACAGTTGACAGTTGTGGAGTCCACTTAAAATTGATTCCAGCTCAAAGTCACCAATTGCGGGCCCCCACGATCCGACCCATCTATTTCTACCGACACAAAACCATGAAATTAGTCTCACTACTCTAAATCAATTGTCCAAAATTTATGTTAATTGAGTTATTATAGAAGGGCTCATTTTGTAATTACCACTAGTACACTTCGATCATTTAATTAAAAACATTTCAGTCAGCTTCATCCTCTTGCTTTTTCTTTCACAAAGCAGTCTTTTGTCATAGTTGTCTTTCAGACTCGGTGCCCTTTCTACTTTTTATTCCAAACAAAGTCTTCCCACACAATTGAGAAATTATTGGAAATTCCTTCTCAATCGATCTTTTGTTCTCTTGATAGAAATTAAGAAGATCAGAGAGAATGGCTGAGAGTGCAGTAGAATTTCTACTCAATCACTTGACCAACTTCATTCAACAAGAGTCAAGCCTGTTGGGAGGAATAAGGGAAGAAGCTGAGTCCATCAGATATGAATTGGAGCACATGAGGGCTTTCCTCAAAGAAGCTGATGCAAATGAATTCAATAACTCAGAGCTCCAAGTATGGGTTAAACAAGTGAGTGATGTTGCCCATGACATGGAAGATGTTCTTGATGAATTCATGCTCCACATCGCACACTATCATGGGGATGGATTCTATGGTTTTCTTTGTAATATTTGCTCTTTGATTAAGAACTTGATAGCTCGCCATCGGATTGCATCTGAGATAGGCAAAATAAAATCCAGAGTCAACAATATACGTCAAGGCTACCAACAAAGATTCAGTATCTCAGAGCATGGATCAAGCTCCACCACTGTCAACAACAACGCATGGTATGATCGTCGAGGTGATGCACTTCTACTGGAAGAGGCTGATCTTGTTGGCATGGATGGGCCCAAGAAACACCTGATTGGGTGGCTTCTGGATGACAGTCCAAGACTCAAAGTCGTTTCGGTGGTGGGGATGGGGGGTATGGGAAAAACCACCCTAGTAAAGAAAGCCTATGATGATATGGGGGTGAAGAATCGTTTCAAATGTCATGCTTGGATCACTGTTTCTCAATCATTTCATCTCAGAGAGCTTCTCAAAGACGTAGTTCGAAGACTCTTCGATCAAGCCAAGGAACAGGCCCCTCAAAGTTTGGAAACCATGGACATCAATGACTTGAAAGCAAAAATCAAGGATTTCCTCCAACAGAGAACGTACGCGCTTGTTTTAGATGATGTCTGGAGTATAAATGCATGGGATGCTTTGAAATATGCATTCCCTGACAACAATAGTGGCAGCCGAATACTGCTCACGACCCGTATTGTTGATGTAGCTTCTACATCTTGTGTAGAATCTCCGGATCATATCTATACTATGGAACCATTGTCCCAAGAAGAGTCTTGGACTCTTTTCTGTAGGAAGACATTCCAAGACAACTGCTGCCCTCCAGATTTAGAGAAAGTCTCACGAAGTATCTTAGAAAAGTGTAAGGGCTTGCCACTTGCAGTTGTGGTAGTTAGTGGTGTTTTAGCTAGGAAAGATAGAAGTACATCCCATGATTGGGAATTGTTTCATCGTAGCCTTGGCGCTCAGTCAGAAGGCGACGACCAACTTGAGAGTATGAAAAGGATACTTTCTCTCAGTTACTATAATTTGCCTTACTATCTAAAAATATGTTTCTTGTACTTGGGTTTATTCCCCGAAGATTACAAGATTGAGCGCATGAGAGTGATTCGACTGTGGATCGCAGAAGGATTTGTGGAAGTGAGAGTGGGAAGGACAATGGAAGAAGTTGCTGAAGGCTATCTCAAAGAGCTTATTAATAGAAGCTTGGTCCAAGTGACAAGGATAGATGGTATTGGAAGGCTAAGAGAGTGTCGCATCCATGACCTTTTCCGTGAAGTAATTACTTCAAAGTCAAGAGAACAAAACATTGCTGCCATGGTAAGCAAAGAAAGCACAACGTGGCCGGAAAAAGTTCGGCGCCTGTCAATTCAGTACACCTTGGGGAACTTGCAGCAGACAAATCGTGTTCCTCAACTCCGTTCCTTGCTCATGTTCTCGGTGGAAGAACCTATATCCAAGTCGTTGAATCCTATATTATTCAATGGTGGGGTTAGGTTGTTAAAGGTTTTGGATCTGAGGGGTGCTTCTTTGGAGATGCTTCCAGATGAAGTCGGCAAACTATTTCATCTCAGGTATTTAAGCTTGAGGGGAACCAAGGTTAAAACGCTTCCGAAATCCATAGGTAAGCTTGAAAATCTTGAAACTTTGGATCTCAAAGAGACCAATGTAACTGAGTTGCCTGTTCAGATTCTAAAGCTCCAACGTCTTCGTCATCTCTTGGTGTACAACGACGACTTGGATACATATGGCTTTAAAGCAATAGTGGGAATAGAAGGATTGTCTTCCTTACAAAAACTCTGTTATATTGAAGCGAGCCATGAGAATGGTAGAATTGTAATGGGAGAGCTAGGGAGACTGACCCAGTTGAGGAGATTGGGGATTACGGAGTTGAGAAGGGAGGATGGGAAGGCTTTGTGCTCCTCTCTTGCAAAGCTGAGTAACCTTCAATCATTGTTCGTAGGTTCTGTAGAAAGGAAGGAGATTGTTGATATTCAACACTTGTCTTCTCCTCCTGGGTCTCTTCAACGGCTCTATTTGAGGGGACGTTTAGAAAATTTTCCGCATTGGATAACTTCTCTTCGTAACCTGCTGAAATTGCGGCTTCGGTATAGCAAGTTAAGGGATGATCCATTGCAATCCCTTCAAGATTTGCCCAATCTCTTGCAACTTTTACTTGATCAGGCTTACGAAGGGGAGGAACTGTGTATCAAAGCGACAGGGTTTCAGAAGCTTAAGACATTAGAGCTTCAAAGTTTAGAAAGATTGAGGTGGGTGAGAATGGAGAAGGGATCATTGCCTCATCTTGAAGAGCTGACTATTGAAAGCTGTAAGTTGTTGGAAGAGGTACCCACTGGCATTGAACATCTAACCAACCTTAAATCCCTTCAGCTTTGTGTCTCAGATAAATTGAAAATGACACTGGATCAAGACGAACAGGGCGGGGATTATTCGAAAATAGTACACATCCCCATTCTTAAAATTTCTTTTGGATAGTTGTTGGGAAGGAGATTATGTAGAGAGAGAGATAGAGAAGAGTCCTTGCACAGTTGAAATCATTAGAACTATCAGGTCACCGAATATTTGCTTTTATTTTATTTTTATAGGATAACTGATTTGTTTTTTCTTTGTTTTTCTTTTTCCCTTTTTAATATATTATGCTATTTTATTTTTATAGGATAACTGATTCGGGGTAGAGGGAGAAATGGAGAATGAGTCTCTGCAACGTTGTTGTTGAGATCATCACTATCTAATGTTTTGTTTTTATTTTATTTTTCTAGATAAACTGATGCTGTTCTTTTTCCCTTTTCAAGTGATTAAGTTGTTGTATATTGTGTTACATTGTTCACGAGCCCAAACTCACCTATTGTTATTCTAAAATGTCATGCTTTTTTTTTTTTTAGCCCGTCTCAAAATAATTATCTATTTTTCTTTTTCAAACAATATATTTTACATCTTTTTATATATGTTTTTGGAGTTTAAAATTTCAAACTTGAATGTAAAGGCAAATCAGTATCACTTCAGAAAGATAAGCATGTCCCACATATCTCCTTAAAAATTTTTAGAATATTTAAAAAAATAAAAAAAGTCAAATTCAAGAACTTGGACTACAACAACACTAATAAGGTTGTCCAATTGTGTAATATACATAAAATGTTGAATAATATAATAGAAGGTAGCAGTTTTTGTCTTTGTTGTTTACCATTTAAGGTAAGGTAGTGTTTGGAGGAGCCCTTCAAGGAGTAGGCACTTCGAAAATACATGGTAAGATTGAGAGAAAAAATAATAACTTAACTTTGTGTATTTTGAATGTGATTTTGTCAAGTGAAAATACATGATAAGATTGAGAGAAAAAATAAGTAAATATCACAAACTATTGTATAACGAAAATAATTTAGAATTACATGACTAGTGATATGGTAACTTTGTGGCGGATGATTTGATAACTTAAATTGGTGTATTTTGAAAGCAATTTTGTCAAGCGAATACATGGTAGGTTTGACAAAAAATAAGAAAAAATTAAAATTTGAACCCTAACATAACACTTTGATAAACGTTTTAGGAGTTTACTTGTTTTCTTCAATAAAAATCTAAATTTTTCAACCAATTTGTATGTGTGAGTAATTAAATAAAGACATAATCCACTTATAAAAAATTTAAAACTATATTTTGAGTCGTCTTTCTCTTGAATAAGAACCCTAATTTCCTCAACGGTAAAAAAAATTAATTAAGCTATGTTAGGGAGCATTACATAAGCTAAAGCGTTTCCAAATTGAAATCCGAGAAATTTTATTCAAAATTTAAATTAAATTTTCTTTAATTTCAATTACAAAAGAATTAAAATGCAACATTATTTTCAACCAGCTTTGTCTATCACGGGATCACAAAAACAAGGTGGTTACCAAATGCAACATTATTTTCAACTTTATAAACTCGTATGATTCATTAGGTTGCCAGGGCAAGGGTTGTGACCCCCCAACTAATGCCTTTGTTAGTCTGACCAGGAATTAAAATCCATTAAATAGACTTGAAAACTCAATTTTGTATATGTATATATATATAGATATATCTATATTGCAGTTACTATATATTATGTATTATCCTTTCCAATTTTCCACCCAGCTAACTGCCAAATTTGTTACAAATTGTCAATTTGGCCTTGAAATTGCTCTTAAAAAAATAAAAAAAGAACTAGATTTAATTGTTTTGGTATTTAATATATATCATGACAGTGTAAGGCCCAAAAGTTGATGCACTAAAGGACTAGACTTAATTATGTTGTACTTAAAAAATAAAAATAAATAAATAAAATTCAAGAACTCAAAAAATAGGAATCAATTTTGAGAGAATTATGAAAGACAATTCAATAAAAATGAATGAGAATCACCTATTATGACATATACATCAGTTACGAATTAATAATGTAACGTTATTGCTTAAGCGATATAAAATTTTTACGTAAGTTATTATATTGATAAGATATTTCGATCTTAACTGATGAATAATAAATGGCACGATAAAATTGATACATGTGAAAAAATAAAATAAAAAAAATAAAATATCGGAAACTGTCAACCAAAATTTGATTTTTAGTTCTCCAAAAAAATAAAATAATTGAATCAATTAAACATACAAACGTTAAACATTTGCGTTGCTAATTCAAAGTTAAAACTGAATCTGCATTTATTTAAAAAACCGAACATTTATACAATACAGTTGATCAATGGGAAAAGAAAGGACACTGTCAAAAAGACAGGTCATGCATGGACATTTCAAACCCAGTATTGTCCATTAGTGAAAAAGCAGATTCCACTTAAAATAGATTCATTCTTTTAAATGTCTTGTCAAGATTGTTGGTGCAATGTCCATTTTATGGCTTTGAGCTGTCATCGACCTGAATAATTACTATATAAAAAATGAATAAAAAGTGAGAAAGAAGTTACCGTGTAAAAATATAAATAATATATAAGTGCAACAAAAAGAAAATTTTAAAGAAGAAGAAGAATAAAAATAAAAATAAAAATAATATGAGAAATTTTGAATGGGAAAAAGTTATAGGTTTTCGTAGAAGAAATAATTGTAGTTTTTTTCAAGAAAATGAAAAGAAATATGAGGAAGAATAAGAATAAAAATGGAAAGAAATAAAGAGATTTATAGGGAAAAAAACAATAGTTTTAGGGGGGAATATAATCATTATTTACTTGAATATATAATATTGGTTCGGTTTCAAAAAATTGTTTCCAATAATTCAAAATAGAGAAAAAAATTGTTTCCAATAATTCAAAAAAAATTTTGAAAAAAACAATTTCAAAAAATTGTTTCCTTTTCTTATAGCTTCATGGCAACACGAAGGGATCCCGGGGAAAGTTCTAACTCCAATCCTATGGAAAGGGATCAAGAGCAAGTTGAGGAAGATATCTTATTGCGTGATTTGGTCCCACCAAGAGATGGACAAGCGAGGGGGACCGTTGACCCACCTTTTCAGATAAATAGGGAGCAGTTGAGGTTAGCCGTTCAGGAGGCTATTTTTGATGCATATCGACCGACAGGTGCGTCATCGTCACAGTTTGTGCCACCACCGGCACCACCACCACCACCTCCAAAGAAAAATGAGTTAGATGATACTCTTTACCGCATTACAAAGTTTGTGAAATTGATGCCAACTTTGTTTGAGGGCGGTCCAGTTCCGCTTGTTGCGGATAGTTTCATGGATAGGGTGGAGAAGCATATTAATGCCATGAATTTGGCAACGGACAAGTTGAAGATTACATTGGCTACTTACAATTTTGTGGGCAATGCTGAGATTTGGTGGAAAACCGTTTCTCACACCTATAATCTGGATACTATAACATATGTTACATTCAAGAAGTTGTATTATGAGAAGTACTTTCCAGCGCCTAAGCGGAGGGAACTAAAGAAGGAGTTTGATGGGTTAAAGTAAGGAAGTATGACAGTTACAGAGTATGAAAACAAGTTTACATCACTTTTGAGGTTTGCACCGGGAATTGCTAATGATGAAGAAAGAAAGATAGAGAAATTTGTTGATGGCCTTGATCTTACCAGTAGGCCAATTGTAGCTGCTTCAAAACCGACAGAGTATGCAAAAGCAGTGCGAAAGGCTTTAGTGGTTGAGGCTGAGAGCAAGGACAACAAAGCTATCAGGGAGTCCTACAAGCACAACAGGGGTATGAGTACTTTCTCCGAAGGTCAATCAAGTAAGAAGCAGAAGCATGAGAAGTCAAGGTTTAGGGGACAGCAGCCAGTCAGATTTGCACCCATAGCTTCAGTGTCCATGGGGTCTTTTAGACCGAATGTTACTTGTTTCAGATGCGGGCAGTTGGGACATTACAAGTCCTAATGCACTCAGACACAGGTAGCTCAGATGATTTGTTTCAAGTGTGGGCAGCCAGGGCATCACAAGTCCCAGTGTACTCAGATTCAGGTGGAGTCTGGTGGATGTTTCGGGTGTGGCCAGCAGGGCCATAGGGTCAAAGATTGTCCACAGCGGGGCAGTGGTTTGGGCAGAAGTGGAGGTTCACAGCAGAGGTAGATGCAGTCTGCCATAGTTCAGTCAGGGTTTCGACCACCACCACCACCTCAGCCGTCTCAACCAACTATGTCAGCCCAGAGTTCTCGACCTGGTAGGGGAGCTTCTTCGAGTGCACCTACTCAGCAGTCTGGCTATCAGGCAAGTAGTTCTCAGGGGCAGAGGACCCAGGGTCGCGTGTTTGCACTCACTCCAGCCGAGTCACCATCCAGTCCTTCAGTTGTCAGGGGTATGTTTCTTGTGTCCCATTCTTGGGCTCGTGTATTATTTGATTCAGGTGCTTCTTATTCATTCATTGCTTCATCATTTGCACGGGCATTGGGTTTGTAGGTCAGTCAGTTAGACAGACCACTTTGTGTTGACACGCCTATCGGGGGTTCAGTTGCTCTTAGTAGAGTTTGTAGGAGTTGTTGCATCACAATTGCCGGACGTGTTCTTGAGTTCGATCTCATCCTTCTCGAGATGACGGGATTTGACGTCATTCTTGGGATGGACTGGTTGTCATCCTTCAGAGCTGTCATTGATTGTTTCAGGGGCAGAGTTTCAGTGTGTACCCCGGATGGGGATTGTTTCTGTTTTGTGGGAGATCGGTGTCATCCTCTCACTCATTCATTTTATGGTGTTAGGGGTCGAGATCGACAGACATTTTTCTTGGCTAGTCTTTTCGCCGATGATGACATTGAGTTTTGTGGGGTTGATTATCCAGCGGTTGTGCGTGATTTTCTGGATGTGTTTTCAGAGGACTTGACTGAGTTGCCTCCACACCGAGAGGTGAAATTTGCTATTGATTTGATGCCTGGTACCGCGCCAATCTCTATGGCACCGTATCGTATGGCACCAATTGAATTAGAAGAATTGAAGAAGCAATATGATGATTTGAGGATGAAAGGCTTTATCCGACCGAGTGTGTCACCGTGGGGTGCACCAGTCTTGTTCGCTAAGAAGAAAGATGGTTCTTAAGGTTGTGCATTGATTACCGAAAGTTGAATCATGCCACCATCAAGAACAAGTATCCTTTACCAAGGATAGATGATTTATTTGATCAGTTGAGGGGAGCCAGTTGTTTTTCGAAGATTGACTTGAGGTCAAGCTATTATCAGTTACGGGTTAGAGAGGAGGATATTCCAAAGACCGCATTTCATACGCGGTATGGACATTACGAGTTTCTTGTTATGCCTTTTGGTTTAACCAATGCGCCGGCGGCATTCATGGATTTAATGAACCGTGTCTTCCACGATTAATTGGATCAGTTTGTGGTAATTTTCGTGGATGACATTCTTGTGTATTCACAGACTCGGGAGGAGCACGAGTTCCATTTGGGTATAGTGTTGCAGATTCTACGGGAGCACCGTT